AACAAAAGAATCAAGTCAGTTGAAATGTTTAGTCAAAGAAATGCAATCTTAGCAAAAATAATTAAATATGACTCAAAGTTGAGAATGAAAAATAAAGCATACAAAGGAAATTAATAGTCTTAACCGCCTGCGTTCTAATTCTCTTAGGCTATCCACATGGCTCTAACAGGGTAGGTTTACTATATTCCTTACATGTGGTTGGTTCTAGCAAAGGTTCCCGAGCAATTTTACAACCTAGTAAGGTTGACACCGATTCTGGCCCATTACAGACTTGCGAATCGGGTTCAGCTCAGGGGATGACACCATTAAAAGCGTACCTTGGATCTAATATATGAATTAGCAACTTAGGGTGCTTTCCAGATATACTTTATCAGACTCACTCAAGGAAGCCCAATGCTCCTCATGAGGTGTGATGTTTCTCTCTACTTAGGTAAACTGGGTTGGAGTTCGGGTTTAGAGCTATGATATACAACAGTCCTAAAAATTCATAGAAGTGTAAGCATTAATCAGAGAGAAAATCTTTTTTCTTTTGAAATAACATAATGAACTATAAATTAAAACAAGATCGAACTCATAATTTCTCAAAATCCTAAATATAGGGTAACCAACTCGTGGCTCGACTCTCAAGTTGTTTTAAAAACAAAACGTCCCCGGCAGAGTCGTCAAGCTGTTGACACCATTTTTCGCCCAATTCAAGAAAGACTGATACCGACTCAGGGGTTTTTTCTTTTGAAAAGGTTTTGAAATGTGAGGAGTCGCCACCAATCATTGAATGTGCGATTTAGACACCATAAAAACTGGGTGATTTTAATAAAACATTTTATTTTTATCAAAATACCAAGTTTTGAGGTCTACGAAAATCCAGAAATCAGGTTCAGGAGTTAGTGGGGGAAGGATTAGCACCCCCACAAGCGGCCAAAAATTGGTACCTAGTTGATTACCCTATATTTAAAATCAGAAATTTTGAGTTCAATCTTTATTTAATTTGAAAATCATTACGGATGCAAAGTTGAAAAGGGTATTCGTTTATTGAGATCAATAGCATTCGCTCCCAAACGTAAATGCGAGAGATCAACTATTGTGCCTAATAATCGCACATTGCCTTAATTTTAAAATCATTATGCGGTTTTTTGAAAGGATGTCGACTTATTTCGGGAATTGCCAGTATTCACCCCTAGAACATGATTGCGGGAGATATACTATTAATTTCCTTAATAAGTGAACAGTGCCTTAGAGTTAAAAATAAAATGCGATCAAACAAAATTTTATTCTTCCTAATTAAACTAAAAGTAAATTAAGGTTATTTCGAACTTAAAGTATCAAATTATGAAAGTTAAAGGACCTAAAGGATCAAACCTAAATATGTTGGTTCTAATACTATTTTATTTTTAAACCGATTATCAAATCGAATAATCGAGATGATCTCTCTAGCATTTAGGCGATGGCCAACTCGAATTATTCCCTAAATTAAAAGATTAAGTGGAGGCTCTATTTAACCTATTTAATTATGTCAATATTAAAGGTCTAATCGAAGTTCGGGGACTAAATGTCAAAGATCTAGATTTGGAGTTCTAAAAGATTTAAAAGCTTAAGGACCTAAATTGATAATTTCTAAAGTTTGGGGCTAATTAACTCCCTAATTTTCCTAAATTATTAAACTTAAAGTTTTTTAGAAAATATTAATTATTAATAAATTTTAAAAGTCGAGCAATCTATTCGAGTAATTGGGCATCTATTGCGAAAATGTGAGTCGAATTTCTCCCTAATTAAAACTAGTGTGAAATCCTAGTTTCTAAGTTTGATTCGAATATTAATATAATTTAAAACTAAATCTAGAATTTAAATTATGAAACAAAACAATTAAAAATAAACTTAATTAAAATAATTTAAAAAAATAGTAAAAAAATAGTAAAATATAAAATAAACTAAATATAAAATAAGTACCCAATTGCATAAATATAAAATAACAATGACTAAAATACAAGAAAATAGAAGTTAGTAGCTAAATAAAAAATAAAAAGTAGTTAAATTAAAATAAATTAAAATTTAAATGCTAATTCAAAATAAAATAAAAAAAATAGATTTAAGGATTAAAATGTAAAACACGCATGAAATTAAAGGGACTAAAAAGAAATTAAACCATTTATTTAAGCCTAAAAAGTTGTTAAAATAAAAAAGGAAAAATTATAAAACCGGTCCACAAAAAATTTAAAAAATTAAAAGGTTACTACACATGACTAAAATGCAAAAACATAGCTAACTTACAAGGACTAAAAAGAAATTGCACCAAAATAAATAAAAATAGGTAAATAAAAGGGAAAATATCAATTTTGGTCTGTGAAGGGACAAAACTACAAAAACATGCTAAAATATAGGGGATTAAAACATAAATATACCCAAAAAATACACAGCAAATAGAAGTGAAAAAATTATGAAAAAGGTCCTACACAGGATTACTTTGCAAAAATGCGTCGAACGTTAGGGGACCTCAGTGTGAATTCCCCCCAACCTTTCTCTATATATACCACAATTCCCTTTTTTTTCACTTTTACGCAAAACATAAAAAAACATGGAGAAGCTCTCCCCTCTCTTCCCGGTCGGCCCACTGTCAGCCACCTTCTCCGTATTTGGCCGTCGTCTTGCCACTGCTCCGGCCACTGTACACGGTGGCCAAAATTCCCAAAATAGTCCAAAAAACCCGCCAAACGTAGATCGAACCCCTTAGGTCCATGTTTAGGATTAAAATCGGCGAAAAACATCCTCGAGATCGGCCAAAAACCCTTCGGCTACCCAGGCTCCAGCGTCGTTTCTGATGACCCAGGTAACCTCGATCTATTCCTTTTTTTTTTATTTTACTGTAAAAATGTTGGGTTGCTGGTTGATGTTGTCTGAAAACTGAGAAAGATTCCCTTTTTTGGTTCGTACTTAGCAACTGGGGGTTTATCTTCGATTTGTTTTTCAAAATTCTAAAAACGTTTTCTTTGTTTTTTTCAAAAACTAAAAGGGTTTTTTCGTTGATATTCGATGTCAGCAAGAAAATTAATTAATCAATTAATTAAAACTACTTATTCGAACTAAAAGGGAGGTTAACCTTGAAATTGAGTGTTTATTGCTGATGGGTCTCTAAAAAAAACCCGAGAGATTACATTGTTCTTTCATTCAAGTTTTATACTCGTTTTTACAGAGAAAATCTAATGATGATAATTTTTTCCTTTGTTTCCTGCAGGTTGCGTGTTGGCAGAAGTGAGGTGGAGTGTTGAAGCAGAGGGATGGGTGTGAGGAACAGTAACCAGGCATGAGATGCCCGGATTTTGTGGGATTTATGTCCCTTTTTTCTTATTATTTTTTATTTATTTTAATATGGTAAAAAATTGGTGCTTACACAACGATTCTTCACAACACTTTTTTTTGCGCTTTGATCAAGGACATATCTACAGTTATCTTTTTGTTAGACTCCTCTTCCATTTCAACCTTCTTCTTTATAGATGATTTATCTGAAAAACCAATCTCCACAACACCAACACAACCTCTAATTTCATATTACCCACCATGTACTTCCACCACCACCATAACTTAAACTTCAAATTTCCTAAAGCTTATGGGGTAATATTGAGTCATTTAGCATAATCTTTGAGCATGTTTTACAACACATTCAACAAATTAATCAATAATTTTGCTTAGCACTGAAACACACACAACATGTATGATACTAACAAACAAGACATCATATTTTTTAAATTTAATAAGTATTTCATAGTTCAAAGTATCATACTTAAGCACAAAACACTAATCAAAACTCATTGTTTAGCTTCCACTAATATTCTCTTTACTTCTAGCATTAGAGGACTCTCCTCCTTTTACTAATCACACATCACCAAATGAAATACACAATCAAATACTGACATAAGAAAAGCATCAAAACAAGTATAAAATGTATGAATACCATGATTGAAGCTCCAATCATCCTTGCTTAGCTAACTTTACAATCATTATTAAACATTATTAATAAATATGTTTTAAATATTAAATAATATTTTTTAAAAGATAAAAGTTATTAGTTATATTAATAGTTTATTATGTATAATTAATATAATATAATAGTTAATTTTTTGAACCTTAATATTAATAGTTATTAATTATAATTTATCTATACATATAATATGTTGTTATTTTAAACAAAGTATTAGAGTTGACTTTTTGGTTAAACTTAGATCTGATCTTTACATTTTATTTTAACTTTCTTTAATTTTCATGAATAAGGTGAAACATGTTCTCAAAACTGACAATTGATGGTTTTGTTTTGGCGGTTAATACTTCAGCCCGTCACCCTAGTATCTAAGTTTGACTCCCCTCTCCTACTTCTCTCATTTCTTATTTCATTTATTTTTACCAACCAGAAAAGACTCATTTTATCATCTAGTTGAATTTAAATTTTTCAATTAAATAAATGAAAATTAAGAGAAAATTCTTTCATTCAAATGCTGAAGTGTGCTACAGGTTGAAGAATTAAATTTATTAAATTAAACTAAAATTAAACTATATTAATAGAATGTGTAAGTAGTGAAGATCAAAAGTGTAATTGTACAAATTTATTTAACCGTCATGTCATAATTTTCCTTAATTGTTAATGGTTAATAGCTTGATTGATATCATTTTAACAGTTCAGTGGTCTGAACCCATTAAGCGGTCTTAGTGATTAAAGGAAGTATTATTCTCCCTTGATATCTTGGGTTCGAACAGTTGCGTCTGCAGGGTGTGTGCGTGGTCAATGATTAAGAAAGATTTTGAACAGATACTAGTCTTGTAATCATCCCATACTATTAAAAAAATAGTTTAGTGGTCTAATTGAAAAAAGTTTTGGTGTAATGGTCAAAATAGAACAGACTCCATAGTTTAATGACTATTTGGAAAATTTACCCTATTGGTTTTCAATATTGGGACGACCCGAAGACATCATTCTTTTTAGTCTTTATAAACGAATAACAGAAGTGAAGCTAGGATAGAGTAGAAAAAAGAATGGGGAACGATTTCGTTTCTTGCAGCCTTGTCCTCGTGCTTTTGATCAAGGTAATTAATCGCCAAATAAACTCTTTATCTTTGATTCATTTTCGCTGTCTCCTTTAACAAAATATTAAGAAACATGAAAGATAACCCAGATTCTTGCAACCAGATCCATTTGGTTGTGCATTCATTATTGATTGACTGCGTTTGAATTGAACTGATTTGTTTGTGTTAGAAATGTTTTTAAGTAAGTATACTAAGATCGTACATTCATGATGTTTTACTTTGATATGTTTATCTTCATTTTGATGTGTAATTCGGTGCTTAATTTTCTGTTCATGCTTCATTGAAGTATCGGTTAACAACTTTCTAATCTTTGGTCAATTTTACTTATAGTTACTGAATTAATTTGACTTTTTGGCAGCTTGCTCCGGGAAATGTAGCAGGGAGTCATGGCAATGTCCTGCGACTCCCCACCATGGATGGACAAAGAGAAGATGCCAGCGAACCCGCACCGTCAAACTCCGGCATGAGTATGGGAATGGGCATGGGGATGATGGGGATGGGCATGGGCATGAGTAGGGAGGATGTGGGGAAGGACCCTGGCTTTAAGGCCTTCTTCTTGATGAAAGATGTTCAAGTTGGGAGAACGATCCCAGTCCATTTTCCCCACTTAAAAGAAGCAGACCCTTCCCGCACATTGCCCAGAAAAACTCCCACTTCCCTTCCATTCTCATTGAGGGCACTTCCTTTCCTCCTCCGGTTCTTCTCCATCCCCCCCGGTTCCCCACAAGCCTTAGGAATGGAGAAAACACTCACCGGCTGCGAGACCGAACGACCGGGAGAGTACAAATCATGTATCACTTCCGTTGATTCCCTCGTAGACTTCGTCGCCGACTATTTCGGACCAGACGTCCGGTTTGAAATCCTCAGAACATCAGCAGGTCCAACTTCAAGGCCACTCATCCAAAACTACACGGTTGTTGAACTGAAAGAGAAAACGTCAGCAAAATCACTGCCGTGCCATAATTTGCCGTATCCTTATCCGGTGTTCTACTGCCATATACTGATAGACACTACGAACAGGATGTTCAAGGTGAGGCTGAGAGGAGAAAATGGGGATTTGGTGGATGCGGTTTTGGTTTGCCACATGGATACCACTAAATGGAATCGTAATTATTTCGCGTTTCGTCAACTTGGGGTTGAGCGAGGAACCACCGAAGCTTGCCACTTCTTCCCTGCGTACGATCTGGCTGTTGTACTCGTTCCCTAATAAAATTATGTGAGATGCAAATAAAAACCAATCCGGTTGTGAGAAATTTCCTTTCTAAAATTTCTTTACACGTATTGACTTCATGTTCTTATTATATAAACATCTTTTGATCTTTCATAAATATGCAAAGAAAAACGACAACTATCCATGAGTATGCAGTGTTCGAGATATAATAAAGAAATGCAATGTGAAAGCTAAGAAAAAGGTGAAATATTTAATGTCTCAATCTGAAATAATATAGTTTCAGAAAATCATCAATGATAAGTTGTTAAAAGTCATTAAAAAAGTCATTAAAATAATTTCTACTTAAAAATAAATTTTATAATAATAATAAGTAAGTTCGAATCTATAATTGTTAGTAAGAAGAAATTCGATGATGAATAAATATCTAAGTAATGTAAATCGTGAAGTTTAATTTATGATTTGATCAATGTTTGAACATATGAATATTTAAACCCTTTTTTAATAGATTGTCATAGTTATCTAGGATGTCTTAATAACTTAATCTCTTCTTAGTTTATCGATAATTAAAGAAAACCTCCAATGATTATTTCTCTTTGTTTGTTAGATAATTCCTTAGAGATATACTTATATGATTCAATCTATTTAACATCTTTATAAATTAAAGAAGTTTAACCGTACAAATAATTTAAAGGGTAAACTACACAATCGGTTACTAATGTTTGAGCTAATTTTTGTTTTTCCTATCGAAGTTTCAAAAGTTAGAAATACCAAAACACTTTCAACAACACTATCAAGTTGTGAAATACCAAAACAGCATATAAAAGAGAAACCCAGAGAGGAGAGGAGAATTCAAGGGAAATGGAGACGAGTTCTCCATGATGTAAAGCAAATAACAATTAATTGTACGTAACTCAACAACTAAGAATCCCATTTGGCATTGATAAAAAATCAGAATATGCTTTGAGTTCAATTGATTCACACTAAAAAAAAAATGATCAGAGAATTAGTTCTTTAATTTCCGGTTCCATGGCTCCCACCCACTACACCATAGATGAAAAATTCACCGATATCGAGTGGTCCAGTTTTGTTTACAAGAAGCAGCCTTTCGTTAACGACGACGAGCTTCCAAGTTATGCTTTTCGGTTGCTCTCACCGGCATACGAACGATCGAGGCAAGGGAAGGTTTTCGGTTTGCATATTATCGGGAAATTGAGTTGCACAGTTGAGTCAAGAAAGTAAAAGGGGCTGAGAGGGAATTGGGGGTTGGGATATGGTTTTAGGTATTTTAGATATTTTAATTGTTATAAAAAAATAATAAATATAATAGCTTAAAGTGTATTTATAATAATTTGCCCCATTAATGGATTCCAATAGTTCTCCAATGCAACGGTCCTACTAATCAACTCAGTCCATGAAAACTGTTAACACACCAATTATGTTTTCCGTCACGTCTATTAACATCTGTTAACATTGAGTGACTAGTTTGTAACCAATCGATAATGTTAGGATTCATTTGTAACTTTTGAAACTTCAGTGGGCAAAATGAAAATTAGCTCAAACATTAGTGACCAATTATGTAGTTTATCCTAATTTAAACTTAGATCTCATACCTTAAAATAAAAGACATCGTTTAAATAAAAATAATAATTCATATCAAATAGGAGAAGGGATAAAGTTAAGTTTTAGATTACATATTTTTTGAATAATTTTATTCCTATTATAGTATAGAAATTGAGTTTAGATGTATGTGAGAAACTTGTTTAAGAATATGTAAACGCAACATGAGCATTCTTTATTCTTGGAGTTTTTTTTACAATTCGTCTTTCTTTTGACATTAATTTAATTAAGAAAATTAATATACTTACATTTTAAAATACAATACATGTTGTAGGAATTTTTTTTATCATTTTATACCTTTATTAATATTTAAATATTTTTAAAATAAAAATACATTAATATTATCTTGAGGAGTTTCTAAAAGTTCTAAGAAGTTTTGATGCAGATTGCTATCGGTATTGAAAGCTCTGAGGAGTTTCGTTTTAAATTTATATGTAAATTTAAAGGTTTTCCGGAGATATATGGTTCTTTATATCTCAAGTATATGGATGATTAACAACTTAATATAAAGCTAAAGATAGACGTGACTTAAAATGTTATAAATAATATAATATTTTAAGTTGCGTGTAACTTAAAATATTAAATTTTAACATTTTAATTCAACCGAAAATATTATAAAAAAAATAATATTTTTTGTTGTAACCTAAAATATTACAAAAGAAAATTAAATCCAAAAGAAAGTAAAAAATTAATATTTTAAATTACGTGTAATCTAAAATATTATAAATATTATATTAATTTATAATATTTTAAGTCGTACATTTTTTTAGTCTTATATTAAATTACTGCCCCTCTAGAACTCCCACAAATATGTATGGAGACAAGATTCGATTGTTGTGGTTGTATACTCTTAACAGTTTTGGTGTGGTTCGGGTATGATTTAGTGTTTTATCTTTTCAATACTGTTTTTGGATAAGTCTTCGTTTTAATTACTATTGTTTAAAAAGTCATAAATTAGTTACTAATATTATCGTTGGTTACAAAATGGTAACTTAACATTAACAATCTATAGGTGATGAAAAATTGATGTGACACGTTAATTGCTATTTTTTAATATTATTTGATCATATTAGACATTTTAATTGGCTCTTCTTCTTCAACTCAACCCATTCTTCTTCTTCTTCAGTTGATCCATCTTTGGCTGATTTTGCTCTTCTGCAAATGATGAAATGAAAGATGTTATTGTGAGTCGTGACTTTGAAAAGTGCGAACAAAATATATGTCGGCAAAGAAATAAGTGAAACCTTCTTCCTAGTAGGTTCTAATGAATCATATGAAACTCGGTAGTAGAGCTCTCATTTTCCAAACTATTATTTACACATATACACATACACATATACACAACTACATATATAAAGACAAAGAAAGAAAGGACTTACAGTGAGATGATGGAGAAGGTTTTAAAGTGAAAAATGGAAGCTCTGGGATTGAAGAGTAAGCCATAGCTTAAACTCTTCTTTTTTTTTCTGTGAAAATTTAACCACCGAAAAAAATATTATCTTATCCAAAAATGCCCATCTCTCGCCAACCCAGAGCCCTTTTAAACAAAAAATACAGATTTTCCAAGGTAAGAAAAAAAGGTTTACGATTTTACTTTCCATCTCATCATACGCCTTACTATGTCGCATGGTTCAAATACTTCCACATTGCTAATATGGGTAAGGCTGTTCTTAGGATTGGTCGAATGAAGTTTAAGAGGACCTTTGTATTGAGTTTTTTTAGGTTGGAATGAAAGCTTAATTCGAACAAAAATGGTAAGTTTTGAGTTAAAAGAAGTATGGAGATGAGAGAATGGAGATGAAAGAGAAGGGCAAGTCAAAATAATGGTTAAACGTGCCAAATCAACAATTATCGTGCCACATTAGCTTTTCGTCACCTACGATTGTTAACGAAGAGTGACAATTTTATAACAAATGATAACGTTAGTGATTGATTTGTGACTTTTCAAACATCAGTGGTGAAAACGAAAACTTACCCAAACATTAGTGACCATTGGCATAATTTACCTATTTCTTTATTATTATTCCTAAAAGACTAATATACAGGTGTTCAACCTTTGCCCGTTTTTGCAGTTTAGTGCTTAATATTTATTTTATTCTAGTTTGATGTTAATTTTATAAATGTTATCCATTTAGGTGTTCGGGGCCATTAACGACGCTAAATTTCTCCCGTTAAGTGAAATGTGTCACAACCTAGTAATTTTAAAAGTTTTATTTAAAATTAAAATATTAAAATTATATATATATATATATATATATATATAAGAAAACACCAATTTTGAACTTTAAAAACATTCATTTCAACACCTAAACTCACGTCGATTGTCTCCTTTTGTTGTCGCCGAAACTCTACTTGACCTCCCCTCCACTCGATGAAAAAAGCCCTATGAAATTGTGATCGATTGTTGACGAATCAACATTTTAGACCCCGCAGACCCTAGGATGAAAATCACGATCTCACACAATTCTGATGGTCGATCGACCATCGATCGGTCAAGATTTCATAGGTGTTTTTGGTCGTCGGGGGGAGGGGAAGTTGGGTGGAGCTTTGTCAATGCGGCAAAAAGGATCCGACCGGCCGGTATGGGTTTAGGGGTTGAAATGAAAGTTTTCAAAGTTTTGGGTTTATTTCAAAATTTATGTTTTCTTTTTAAAAAATAAACATATAATTTTAATTTTTAAATTTCAAATAATTTTTTTAAAATTACCAGGATGTGAAACGTGTCACATAATGGCCAAATTTAACGGTCCGTCACGGTTTAACCCATTTTAAATAACAAAATAAAACATTAGACACCAATATAGAATGAAATAAATGTTAGGTACTAAACTGAGATAAGAGACATAGGTTGGACACCTTTTATATATTTATATTTAAGTCTTCCTAAAAATTGACTTGACTGAATGATTTGTTTTCAGTCTCGGTTTGAGCGATGATTAGTGGAAAAATAAGTAGATAATAGTTACTCTAGTAAAATAATTTTTATTAGGGTGTTAGTTGGATTTATTATTTATTATTTTTATATAGGTACTATATGAATCTCGTAAAAAAATATTTTATATCTACTAAATGTTAGTTTTTTAATAAATAAAATAATTTCGTTTAAACTGCAATAATGTAAAGTTTCTTAATGTCAGACATGTGATTGTGCATGACTATGGGACTACATGCCGGGACTAGAGATTGAAATTTGGGAGGAAGATAAATCCAAATGGAAAATTGCATGTAAAATATTACTCAATTAATTATTTTTTATGCAGATCTGATCCATTAATATAATAGTCGATATGTTATCATACATGACCGATCCCAAATCCATTAAACTACAAAGAGGAGACATGAACGATGTCATATTTTTTTCTCGAGATTTGAAATTTATTAAATAAATTATATATATTCCAATCTAGCAAATTCGAGTACTACTTCTTCTTGTTCGTCTCC